AGAACAAGACCAAGACCAAGACCAAGACCAAGACCAAGAGCAAGAGCAAGAGCAAGAGCAAGAGCAAGAGCAAGAGCAAGAGCAAGAGCAAGAGCAAGAGCAAGAGCAAGAGCAAGAGCAAGAGCAAGAGCAAGAGCAAGAGCAAGAGCAAGAGCAAGAGCAAGAGCAAGAGCAAGAGCAAGAACAAGAACAATAACAAGAGCAAGAGCAAGAGCAAGCACAAGCACAAGCACAAGCACAAGCACAAGCACAAGAACAAGAACAACAAGAACAACAAGAACAACAAGAACAACAAGAACAACAAGAACAACAAGAACAAGCACAAGAACAAGCACAAGAACAAGCACAAGAACAAGCACACGAACAAGCACAAGAACAAGCACAAGCACAAGCACAAGCACAAGAACAAGAACAAGAAGAAGAACAACAAGAACAACAAGAACAACAAGAACAACAAGAACAACAAGAACAACAAGAACAAGAAGAACAAGAAGAACAAGAAGAACGAACAAGAAGAACAAGAAGAACAAGAAGAACAAGAAGAACAAGAAGAACAAGAAGAACAAGAAGAACAAGAAGAACAAGAAGAACAAGAAGAACAAGAAGAACAAGAAGAACAAGAAGAACAAGTAGAACAAGAAGAACAAGAAGAACAAGAAGAACAAGAAGAACAAGAAGAACAAGAAGAACAAGAAGAACAAGAAGAACAAGAAGAACAAGAAGAACAAGAAGAACAAGAAGAACAAGAAGAACAAGAACAAGAAGAACAAGAAGAACAAGAAGAACAAGAAGAACAAGAACAAGAACAACAAGAACAACAAGAACAACAAGAACAACAAGAACAACAACAACAACAACAACAACAACAACAACAACAACAACAACAACAACAACAACAACAACAACAACAACAACAACAACAACAACAACAACAACAACAACAACAACAACAACAACAACAACAACAACAACAACAACAACAACAACAACAACAACAAACCAATTGCTTCCCTGGTGCACAAGGAACCTCGCATGAGTTGACCTGATACTTCTTGAGAGTCAGGGTGCCGGTGCGATTTGTGAGGATAGGCCTCACAACTTAACATCACCCCTTGGCCAACCATCCTATCCTATGCTGGAACAAGCCACCCAAGGACCCAGCATACTTCTTGCTCGGATGAAAACTACACCAGGTACATTCCAATTCCAGTAGACGTCCCAGGGCCCTGATGATTTTTTACATGCTTCGTCATCCGGGCAGCTTGGAGCCGTCCTCCAGCTTGAAGGCGCGGACCATGCCGGCTTCATGCTTCTGGCCCCTGCTCGCCCCTGGGTTGCTGCAGCTGTAGACAGTGCCTGGGCCCAGGGCCGCGCCGCCATCACCGAAGCCTTGAGCGGTTGGAGCGTGGGCGTGTCAGCGCGGGCGGGTGATGCGCTGAGTTTGGCGATGTGGGACAAAACACCGGAGGTTTGAGTTGCCAATTGAAAGACTCCTCAAGCCCAAGCTCAAGCCTTCTGAAATCAGAACCCTGTCCAAATTCCGAGGTTGCTCGTATTCGTCTCAAAATTGGTGAAGCCGAAAAACCGACACAACAGGTGTCTTCTTGTTGAAAACAAACCAAAAGTCCCCCCCGAACCAAAAAAAACAAGAATGGTCTTTCGAGGGTCCCTCTTTGGTCGCCCAAAAACCAGATCCACTCAGCTGATCCCAGGGGCTGTCGGCGGAGTCCTGCACCGGCCGCCGCCAGAGCTCCTTGCCGCTTTTCAGGTCCAGGCGGTACAAAGTCCCCGTGTGGTCCATGAAGGCCACGGTGCCATCCTCAAAACAAACATCACTCGGGGGGGGGGTGGCGTGCTGGCGTGGTGGCGTGGTGGCGTGGTTGTGGTTGTGGTTGTGGTTGTGGTTGTGGTTGTGGTTGTGGTTGTGGTTGTGGTTGTGGTGGTGGTGGTGGTGGTGGTGGTGGTGGTGGTGGTGGTGGTGGTGGTGGTGGTGGCTATTACTACAACAACTATTACTACCATCTCTACTCTTGGTATGGTAGCCAAAAACTGCAGACCCCCAGTAAAAATGAACAGAACCAAAAAACTAAAAAAAAAAAAAAAAAAAAAAGAAAGAAAAAAAAGAAGAAACACAAAAAACACATGCCAAGAACAGTGAAGCACTACTGCTACTACTACTACTACTACTGCTACTGCTACTGCTACTGCTACTGCTACTGCTACTGCTACTGCTACTGCTACTGCTACTGCTACTGCTGCTGCCACTGCTACTGCTACTACCACTACCAGTACAGTACCAGTACCAGTACCAGTACGAGTACGACCACTACCACATACCACTACCACACCTACCACCACCGCCACCACCACCACCACTACCACCACCACGACCACTACCACTGTTGCGACACGCACCAAAGTATCCTTGCGGCAAATGGAAGACGTGTATAAACTAGCATTCCAAATCGCCACAAAAGACCGTCTTTCGTTTTGTTATATACATGCTTTGACTGATGGGAACCCATGAAGCTGCCGTTGTAGGTCCCAGGAAAAGGAAATGCAGGGACCCAGCAATCCTCACCAAGAGCCCAACGGCGCCTTGGGAAAGAGCGGCGCGAAGTTCCAAACCGGATCATCCAGCGCGTACTCCCACAGCTTTTCGCCCGTAGGCGCATCCAGGCCCATGATCAAGCGATTCCCATCTCCGTTGAAGCTGATGTGCCCTTTGCCAGTTCCTTGGTCGGGGGGAGGGGTTGTCAAGAGTCAAGAGGTCTGAAAAACAAAAACTGACACATTCGCTTTTGTCTTGCTTTTGGGTATGTTTGGCACCAAGTTAGTTGCCGCTTTGCAGCAACTTCTGGAGAAGGTGCATCTGCCTGATTGAATTACATTGACATAGGATCAACATGCCTGATCAGAATGTTGACTCACATGACTTACGCAGCATTGATTGATCCACAAGGCAGAACATGAAGTGCCCTGCAATTGCCTTTAACACACCCCGGGGCTCTTCAATCCCCTGGCAGTTGCATGAGAGCCAAAGCAACCAAATTGTGCCAAAGTTCCAACAACGAGGACGTTCTCAGAAGCTCCCGGGTATCCGACATCCCCACCAGCGTCTTCCGCCAGCTTCGTCTCCCACTGCAGCTTTCCGCTATGTCGGTCCTGGGGTCGGTGTTGGGCTGCCAGATGAAGTAAAACCGATTTCCCCGGTGCACGCTACTTTTAAAATACTAGCAAGACAGCAGGCTGTTGCCAAGAATCCGGGTTCCCATATTCCTATGTCACCTCAATATCCTGACGCGAGCAACGCGTGGCTAAAGGTTAACGAGCTGAGCTCATCCACTGAATCGAGCTCATGCAGGTCCTTGATTTTGGATATATTTGTTTAATCTTTGTGATTTTGCATATGAGTGTGCGTGTGCATTTTTTGTGTGAATACGATTTGTCTGAATCTGATCTGAAGGTCAAAAAGGTCCAAAAGCCGCCAAGCATCCACGGCAAAGGCCCGCCCTTCCACCGTAGTGCCCAACACCAGATCTCCGAAGAGCGCGACCTCGTTGTTGCTGAGGCCCGTGTAGTTGGAGGAGGTCCACAAAAGCTTCCCGGACTGGGAGAAGGCCAGCAAACCTTTGCCTCACGCGTACCCACCAGACCTTACCAGACCTTAGGAGTGGTTTGCTGGGCACCTCCAGATTCCATAGATGGGAGGGATGGAAATGACAACAGACTTGCTTGCTGCGGGCTCCTAGGGAGAAGAAAATCCGCCGGAACCATTCGCAGTTTGTGCCAAATTCAAGCATGGACAACGGGGGCGCCACATGGCACCACTGAGCAACTGTGAAAGGGGTTGTGCTTGGGGATTATGGCCGGCTGGGAATGCCACTGCTTGAAACCGTGACGAGGTGCAAGTCATCTGGTAGATATTGTTCTCTGAGTCGATGACCGGGCCCCCTGCGAACATGAGATGGTACTGGCCCTCAGGATGTGTCCAGTTCCAGGCGAGGTGATGGGTGCTCCAAATCTCCGGGGTAAACCCCGACCTTTGGGTCGTCTTCCCACGCGCATGGGGCCAAGGGTGCTCCGCCACCTTGGCTTCCAGCGCCACCTGCAGGAAGTTGGCCCAAGGCTCGCACTCCCCCGACTCGCAAGTCTCCGCCAAAGCGAGGCCCAAGTACAAATAGATCACACGCAGCAACATGTTCGGTGTCAACGCCAGGAGGCAACTCAAGTGACTTTTCTTGAGCCGAGCCTTACAAAAGAGCTCAAAGATAACCTCTGCAAATCCGAGCTCGGCACATTCCCTGGACTAAAGCAAGCTATAATGTCTTGAAGATTCTTGAAGTAATTTTGTCATGCATACATTGGACGAACCGGATTTCTCAACCAGTTATAGAACTTGATTCGGCACTCATACAACTCTACCGACTCTACGTCCTCGGTTGAACAGCGATGTCGCCTGCTTCCTGAGTCTGCAACCGCCGAATGTCTCAACATCAAGGCCAGCCTGCAAAACATGCGTAACTGCGTAGCTGCTTTGAAGCTGCCCCTTGATGTCAGACCCGGTGCGGAATTGTGAGTTCCGAAGTAACACAATTGTAGCTGCTATAGGGTGCAAAAAGCCCAAGGATAGGCTGGAAAATGTGCTGCAATGTGTTTTGTCTCACCCTCCATACCTGCATGCAATTGCATGCAGGTCAGCCCGCAAGCTTCCGGCATCGTCTTCCTAGAAAGACGGTTCATATATGAACGCCGCCGAAAAACGATGGCCCGCAAGAAAAATACAAAGCCACCCTACATTGCACCTCCCCCTCCTCCCCTCCTCCCCTGCTCCCCCTGCTCCCCCTGCTCCCCCTGCTCCCCCTGCTCCCCCTGCTCCCCCCTCCCCCTTCCCCCCTCCCCCCTCCCCCTCCCCCCTCCCCCCCTCCCCCCTGCCCCCTCCCTCCCCCCTCCCCCCTCCGCCCGGCAGCACATAACACAGGTACGTGCATCCGCGCCACCTCTCCGCCAAGGCCCCCATTTGAAGCTGTCCATCCGCAGCGGCCATCAGCACGGACCACAGGTAGAGGCCTTCAGCCAGTGCAACCCTGACACGTTGTGTGTGGGTACTGGGCACAAAGTACCGAATTGTCATTGACCCTTTGGTGGGCATCTCTTGCATGGGAATTCATGTCCGCCAAACATCCCATAGGGCCCAGGGAAAAAGCGCACCCAGTCGGCTGAACTTAGGTTGATGAAGGTTGCCCAAATTTTCATGCTTGCTTTGCTTCACTGTCACATACGTCTGCACCGGCCAAGTGAGCACTGGTTTTCCCTGTTCGAGACTTATACACTGCCGGGCTACGTGTAGAGTTCTAGGGGTCCAGGATTTCGTTGGAAGGGTCGCCTTCATGAGGCTTCGCGACATCTTGGATAGCCAACTGCTTTTACTAGCAAAGTGGCGAAGCGCCTGTGTCAAACCTCGCGGCCTATGCGAGAGGCTTCGCGAGGCTTCGCGGCAAACAATGATAATGTGTCACACAACTGCCTTCGCGGATCTTGGGAATTCCTCTGAAGCTCAAGTCCATCAATTGAAAACAAGCGGTTAGTTTTTAGGGAAGCTTCCACTACGCCCCTTGCGTGTCCCAATGTAAGGCAAGCGACGCCCAATCAGAAACCACTTGTTGGGAATGCCAAGCATTGCCAAGCAACTTTCTGACCTTCAGACATCACATGAGCTGAGAGAAGTGGACATGTTTTTGGTGCGTGTGTCGGCGACAAGGGCTCTGCACGGCATTTTCCATCCCTGACATTTCATCTGGCCCGCTGCGCATGTTCTCGCCAACATGGTGGGGCAAAAACCAAAAGGTCAGAAGGTTAGGTTTGAACAACTGAGTGTCTCGTGCAAACCTCCTGCCAGGCATCCTCTGGGCCCTTGTCGCCGTTCAGTACCCACCGAACCGAGGCGCCATGCTCGCCCGCGCGCGCCCGCCGCACAAAGTCGGAGAAGCTCATCTCCTGGAGCTCCTCTGGTGCTTCCAGGAAGCAGGAGTCCTTGGACCTCCGGTGAGGAAAAAAACAAGGGCCGTTTACACTACCCGGCACATAGATGGCACAACTCAGACGTATATATTTTTAGGTAGGCACGAAAGCAAACAAATCAACACGTCTTGACCGTATGGATTGCGCTTTTGGACTGCTTGTGCAGGCTTTCGCGCAAAGAAGAGGGGCTCCATGTCCAATCCCTGGTGACTCAGCATTCCCCATGACATCGATGACATGCAATCAGCTCCTTTGCTGGCACGGGAAGGCACCAAATTGTGACTCCAACTCTCTGCTCCCGATTGTCCAACAGCTTTGCTGTTGGTTTTAGCAGTCTGCCACCGAAGCACGCTGAATGCCGCCCCTCGCATTGCAAGCCAACCAGGCAATACTTGTGCCAACGTTTTCAAAGCAGGCTCAATTAATTATGCTGCCCTGTGTGCGTTTACATGGCTCCCGCGAGTCATCCGTTGGCATTCTATGACATGAATCTCAACTTGGGGCCCTTTTGTGACGCCATTAGCACGGCTATGTCCACAAACGATCTTTGAATGTGGTCCCGATTCAATTAATTTCAAACTGGCGACAGAGTTGCTCTCCCACCAACATCATCAACCAACATGGAATCTGATTGGAGGTCCGTGGGCAAGTTTTCCTCGGGACCTGCTGCGGGTTCCGAGTTGATAACTCGAAGCAAAGCTCCAGAAGTGAGCGGCCACGAGCCGAGTGGCTCGTCTGTGTAGTGGAAGCTGCCAGCCCGCGCCACACGCACTGGCACCTGGCGCCGGGCACAAAAGCAAGCGGAATCGCCCAAGCGCAGAGCCCCACTGTCAGCCAACTAGCGCGGGTTGGAGATCTTGCAGAGTTATGTGCAGATATTTTGTGTCATTTGGGTGTTCCTTTGACAGAATAGTTTGAGGGATTTTGAGGGTGCCTTTGCGTTTGGGGGTCTCAAAGCAAAACCACGCCGAAGACACCCATTTTATGGGTTAGCATTTCCCATTTTCAGACCGTACAAAATCCCTTCAAAGAAACCCGCAAAATCTCTGCGAGATAGCTCTGCGCAACAAAGGATTGCAAGCTTCCCTGTTGAAAATTCGCACTGGGCAAGCGAGAGCAGGTCGCCACCTTTGCTGCTCCAACTTCGCAACCACAACCGCAGCAAGAGCGATCCGCAGTAGATTTACCTGCAACATTCAGGTTTGTACTCCGCGTAGAGGGTTTACACTTTCTGGGGAATAAAATGCACGACGCGACTTCGAAGGACTAAGCCAGACCACTGTGAGGCCCTGCCAAACCAGCCGTCAAGCAGTTGGGCCCCCAAATCGACCCAACCACCTAGAATCATGACGTATATACAAAATTGTATTACCTGCATTTAGCAGCCTTCAACATGGGGTGAGTTTGGGCAAGCCCATGAGCTCAACCCCCTACTGAACAAACTATGACGCCTAGGGGAGCCTTCGTGGATGTTTTTGCCCCACTCGTCAGCTGCAAAGTCTGCCAATAAAAAGAACAAAAGGGCGGAACGGGGAGGGGGCATGTTCCTTGGTCCATTGTTTGGCAGTCTGGCTGGCACGCGAAATGACTTTTTTGTGTTTACTTCTTTTGCATCCCTGCGCGACCAAAATGCCAATAAGCATCCGAAGCCTTCCGAATTGTAGGTATCCTTGTGGCTTCCAACTCCTGTCCAATATGTTTTCGATGTTCTTTTCAGGTTTCCTTTCAGTTTCTTTTTAACCGTTCCTCTCCGCTCTACCCTTGCCCCCCACTCCGTCGATATCCATCCGCCTTCGCGTCGCCGCAGGCCGCCTCCAGCGCCGCGAAGTCCCAGTCCACCGGCAACAAGCGCCGCGCCAGGCCGCGCAGAATCACCGGGCGCCTCGGACAAACGCCACGCCGCCCTCGAAGAGCCCGGTAGTCGATATATGTATACTGGGTCCTCCAGTAGAGAGGTTACAATAGGGGTACCCGATTTTTTGTAGTTGTCTATTTTAGGGGAACCCTCCCCCAAAAACGGGTAAAAGGGCACTACTGGGGAACCTAGGTATATATATATATATATATATATCCCCCTCAGACTAACCTGGAAGCTCCCAGAACCCATTTGGAAGAGAGCCTTATTTACAGAAGCCTTCTGGGAGCGAGCTGGCAGATTGGCAAGCACCTTCACTCCGAAGGTTGGTCAATCCAAATCCGTAGGCTGAAACCAGTAGGGACCCCTTGGCCGCGCTGATTCTCCATGGACCATGAGCTACTTACAAAACCACCCACTTTGAAACGAGGCGGAGGGTGGGTGGCGACGTTGGGGATCAAATGGAAGTGAAGATCAAGCGATTACGTCCGCCTAAGGACCCCTCCGGCACCTCTCGCACGCCAGAGGCGAGGCGCTGGCGGCTGGGCTCCAGGAAATCCCGAGCGTCCAGCGCCGCATCCAACTCTTCACCTGAAGGACCCGTTTTCAGCCAAGCCGAGTTTAGAGGTGAAACAAACGGAAAAACCGCCGCGCTCGCGCTAACGGTCCCCCTTTTTTGGACGACCAACCCAATTCTCAGGACTGGCCCACCAACCCAAATCATCTTTGGGCAAACGTGTTTTTGTTTAAAGCAATTGGGTTGCTGGCACTCCGCAACAGCAGCGACTGCCTGGCCGGCAATAACAAGTGTTAAGCGCCGTCTGAAATGAACATCCAAATCCACCGTGTCCGATGTGCATCACCGTCTCTTACTTCCACTCACCTTCGCCCAGACTCTTGCTGCCTTGCTCAAAGCGACACAAGCCTTTCTATGCAAGAGGTCACCGTTTCTCCCTTGGCCTGCAGCCATTTCCCTGGAGCTTCAGCCCTTGAAAGAATCCCCGCTCGCAAAACATGTTGCTCTTGACCCAAACAGAATCCGAACTCAGAACCAAGCACAAAGTCCAAGAGACACTCTACTGCAAAAGCGAAGCTTTGGCTCGAGTGGCAGCTCCTTCCCAGGTACGGCTCCGCCACTTTGGGCGCTGGCCAGTGGTCCTTCTTCCGCTTCGGCAGGGGCGGACAGTGGACCGCGGACGGCGGGCACTGCGGCACTGGCAGGTGCAGCAAGGAGCCCGGGAACTGGTCCTCGCAGTGGAGAAGCTGTTGAGATGTGGCATTTGGGCAGGTGAAGCACAGCGGCTGGGGTGCTGAAACGGGGCCCTGCGATTGCCGAAGCCAATTGAAGGCATATCACAGCGACACTGATCCAGAAGCATGCGGAAGGCAACGATGCCTGCGGCAACAGCTGAACAACTTGTTCAAGGCCAGGGTTCACCGACCCCGTCAAGCTGACACGAAGCCGGCTGCAAGGAACAATGCCTTTTATGCGAGCACAATTTCCAGAGCAACTTACGGCCATTGACCAGCTGGCCGCTTCAAATAGGTGGAGCAAAAAAACAAACAAGAGCTCTGGCGTGTGCAAAAATCCATCCCCAAACCCCCCCCCCCCCACCCCGCCCCAAGGGGGCGTCCTCTGCCAGGGATACCACCGGATCCTGGCGCCACTCCGCGTCAACGGCGTGCCATGCCTGCCGGCTTGGCCTCGGCAGAACAGCTCCGAGGGCTCGTACCAGTCTCCCTCTGCCCCTTTGAAGGGGGGGGGGGCGTAGCTATACATATGCAGGAATATATATATATATACACATTATTCCCAAGATATCTGAAAGCTATAGGGGTTCTAACTTCTAATAAAGAAGGGAAAGTGATTTGCGAGATTGAGGGCCGGGTGCTAGGGGGCATGCAGTTTGGGGTGCTGGTGGAGGTTCTGTTGTGCGAGCTTGACGGCCGGGTGCTAGGGGGCATGCAGTTTGGGGCATTGGCCGTGCCGGTTTGGGGTGCTGTTTGAGGTGCTGGTGATGGCGCAGGCGCATTCTTGCAAGATTGACGGCCGCATGCAGTTTGGGGAGCTGATGCAGCTGTTCTGTTTCATGTGCTGTTTGAGGTGCTGCTGATGTTGTGGGCGCAATTTTCGGACATTGCCGGTGGGTGCTAGGGGCATGCAGTTTGGGTTGCTGTTTGAGGTGCTGGTGATGGCGCAGGCGCATTCTTGCAAGATTGACGGCCGCATGCAGTTTGGGGAGCTGATGCAGCTGTTCTGTTTCATGTGCTGTTTGAGGTGCTGCTGATGTTGTGGGCGCAATTTTCGGACATTGCCGGTGGGTGCTAGGGGCATGCAGTTTGGGTTGCTGTTTGAGGTGCTGGTGATGGCGCAGGCGCATTCTTGCAAGATTGACGGCCGCATGCAGTTTGGGGAGCTGATGCAGCTGTTCTGTTTCATGTGCTGTGTGCTGTTTTGGGTTGCTGTTGGAGGTGCTGCTGACCGCGTGGGCGCTTGTTTCCCAGATAACTCCAAACCATAGGGGTGCTAACTTCTAAAGAAGAAGGGGAATTGTTTTGCAAGATCGACGGCTGGGAGCTGGGGGGCATTCACTTTGGGGTACTGGCGCAGCTGCGGTTTTGGGGTGCTGTTCGGTTGAGGTGCTGGTGACAGTACGTGACGGCAGGGTGCTTGGGGACGTGTCCGGTGCTGGCGCGTGCGGCTGCTGTTTTGGGGTGTTGGTGACGGTGCGGGCGCATATGGATGGCAGGGTGCTAGGGCGGGCGCTGTTTGGGGTATCGTGGTTGTCGCATCATACTGGTGCTGGCTGCAGCATCATGATGCTTGCCGCACCGGTTCGGACGTTGTTGCTTGCTTGAACTGTCGCGTGTCATCATGATGTTTGCAACCACGTCATGATGCTGCTGCAATTGCTGCGATGCTGCGTTATGGTGCGTGGGTGTGGTGGCGGAAGAATGCTGTCAACATCAGGATGATGCTGAATTTCATGACACTGTCGCAAGATGATTCGTGGCTGTGGTATCATCATGACGCTGCCTTTTACCATCACCATGATGCTGCAAGCATCATCATGATGCTGTCCGCATCATCATGATGCTGTCGAACTCATCAAGAGGTCGTCTCTGCCTTTTGTCTGCTAGATATGTAGCGTGGAATCGTTCGTGGCTGGTGTATCAGCATCATCCTGTCAACGCTGAACTCACTAGGACGTTGTCTGCGCGTCTATCTAGCGCACTATGCTGAGTAGCTGTGGTATCCTCATGATGCTGTCAACATCATCAAGATGTTGCCAGCATCAGCATGATGCCGCCGGAACCATTATGATGCTGCGTCATGGTTCGTAGCCGGAGTGCGCTATCTGGGGTCTATGCTGGTGAAATGTTCACTGTATTTTTAAGAAAGCAAAAACAATTGCATACGTAAGTTTATATATGCGGTAATATGTGTATATATATAATATGTTGTGTGTGTGATTGCGCGTGCTCATGTGCATTCTGAACTGGGTTGGCAATCACGGAGCCAGTGGGTATGAGCAAGGCACACAGCACTATGAGGTATAGGGGCCAACAGAAGGCAGCCAAGAAGGGTTAACAGCGATTGTGTCCTCTGTTGCTGCATCCATCGACGGATATCGCCGGAAACCAGCCAACAGGAAGGGCATCTCTGTAGAGGCTTCTGCGAGCTTGCGGAAGAGGGGGATAGGCTGGCTTTGCATTTCAATGGCAGTGCTGAAAGGAAGCTGCCCAAACGTTGCCGGGTGGTGGGCATGTTGCTCAATCTGAAGGCCACACCTAGGGCAGTCTCCTAGTCTCAGCACTGACTATAACCACTTCTTGCGGGACGTGCACAGTCCTCAACTTGTGTCGGTCAAATGCGATCCCGAAACGACCAAGAAGTGATGATCGATTCCTTCCTGTGGGAAGGCCAATTTCGCGATGTCTGGCGCGCTGCGCTTCGCCTGCCGCACTTTTTCACGCAGCCTTCTTTGCCTGGTCTCGCTCTTTCGCCTGCAGGCGCAAGAGAACTCAACCCTGAACAACACTCGTCGCGCATGCTCTCTGACATCAGGCTTTACACCCATGCCCAATTGTGTGACATGCATTCCCCTTGCAACTTTGGAGGCAAGTCAAACTTTGCGGTCTTGAATTTGCCCCTCATCGCGCCCCCCCACCCCACACCCAAGTAACGAAAGGCGAACCGCCTGGGGCGATCATAAACAAGCCGCCGGACCGATAACCGGCGCGCCAAAATTGGAGGTCACCGCGCTCATGGTGCAGCCAAGCGTGCGCGGCGCTTGGGTCTTTGCACTTACCACAACGCGCCCCCGACGAAACATGTGCGATGCTCCAGTGTTATTCACCAAAGCGTGTGTTTCGCTGAGGCGAAACAAGATAAATCAAGAACAAAGAGCAAACATTTCCTGGTTTTAGATCAAGCTCAGCGACGGACGCAAACCTGCATACGCGATCCTTGTAAGTGCTTTGGGGGGTTGAGGGTCTATTGTCTCGGCTATGGCTGTTTGTGCGTGTGTGTTGTGTGTGTTGTGTGTGTGTGTGTTGTGCGTGCGTGTTGTGCGTGTTGTGCGTTGTGCGTGCGTGCGTGCGTGCGTGCGTGCGTGCGTGCGTGCGTGCGTGCGTGCGTGCGTGCGTGCGTGCGTGCGTGCGTGCGTGCGTGCGTGCGTGCGTGCGTGTGCGTTGCGCGTACGTGCGTGTGTGCGTGTGTGAGCGTGTGTGTGTGTGTGTTTAGTGGCACCCGGGCAAGATCACCGTAGCTTGTGCATGTCAGGTCAGCAGCGGCCATGGCACCCGGAGATGACCACAGCCCCGGGCGTGCAGTCTGGCGTGCGACGGAGAGCGTGGACGTGTGTGCTTATACTTTGTGCCAGGCATGTGCTCAGGCGTACGACGGAGAGAGCGTGGGCGGGTAGGCATGTACGCAGGTGTACGATGGAGAGCATAGCCGGGTGTGCTTGCCGTGTGCTCAGGCGTGCGACGGAGAGCAGGAAGGGCGTGCTTACCATGTGCCAGCATGCGCTCCGACCCGCCCACGCTCTCCGTCGCACGCCTGTGTACATGCCTGGCAGACGGAAAGCACACACGCCCACGCTCTCCGTTGTACACCTGTGTCACATGCCTCACACATAGTAAGCACACCCGCCCAGGCTTTCCGTCGTACACCCGCGTGTGCAAAAACCCACGTTTTGTGGCTCGGTGAAAGTCCGCTTGCTTAAACATCGCGGCTGCAAGTTCACCAGGTCTATGGAGTTGACCAGGTTTCATCAAGAGCCATTTAGAGATGGAAATCCATGCGCTTGGCGGGCAAACGAAAAACCATGAAACGCCACGCCTGTTTCCGGGGCGTAGACATAAACAAGTCAAACCATGTTAAAACTTAAAACTGGAAAAAACAAACGATCAAACGGTTGGCTCTGGTAACCAAGTCATGCCGTCATACCATATCCTGGCAACAGATTGCAAGCGCATTTCTACATTTGACTGAAACAACGTAAACACAAGCTCAGCCAGCATCAGGGGCGTCTTGACAGCGGAACCGGCATGCTCATGTGAGCATCATCTCCGCACAAGATTTGACGAAGCCCAAACACATTGAGATGGCCGTGGTTGTCAAAACCAATGGTACCATTTTGGGGTAGGTGAATTCACCACCCGATTTAAGTGGGGATTGGGATGTTCACTGAAAGTACGGGATGTTGACCCATGGCCACATCCCACCAACGCCAAGAAGTCCTCGCCCACATTTTTGCCCATGGCCCATGGTCCACGTCGCCTCTTTGCGGGCGCGCCGGCGCATGATGCGAAAGAGCAGAGTGGGGCAAAGGCTTCGCAGGAGCCGTGCGAGGCGGGCATCCAGGGCCGCAGGAACCATCTCGGGCAGTCGCCGGGCAATGGTTCGCAGCACCTGCGGCTTGGATTCGCTTGTTTGGAGCACCTGGGAACTCTACAGTTCCAAACCTTAGGTGAGCCGGCTATAAAATTTGCAGAACCATGAAGCCATGCACGATGGCCTGAAACAACCACTGTCTCCCCTCCCCGCACATTGGCATAGGGAACCAGCTGATTGAAACACAATTGCCGGGCGCAATCGGCTGTGTCTCTCCTCAAGCCACGGGCCTTCCGTGCAGAGACCCCGCAACTGCGTTGCTGTATACCCATCTTTGCCGAGCCTGGCTTCGCAATACAACCCAGACTAAGGCCCAAGCAAACAGCTTGCTACACCGCAACTTAACTCAAGCACCTAGCTCGAACCCCAATGTTTGACTAAACATGGCTGATTGTTGCCCGATTTTTTCCAGACCGATTTGCAGAAGGCTGTGCTTTTTCGTGTTTTCTCTTTCTTTTGTTTCCTTTGTTCAATATATATATATATATATATTATCTTGTTTCTCTGCAGCTTGCTCCGTTATAGAACACCCGTCCTGCGGCGCCAAGACCTCCGGCGCCACACCCTTGCTGGTGTGACCTTGCCAGAGAATACGTCTGGCCTTTTGGCCTAGCTCCGTTTTGAAAACGTCGGGGAGCAGTCGTTCAGCTCTCAGCAACTCACGGTGAGGTCGCCGTTTTTTGACTTCAACTTGAAGATGGTGGACTAACGGACTGATGGACAGCCAACAAGCCCCCCACTAGAAGTCAAACCAACCACCAAGTTTCCAACCATTTCCAACCCAAACTCAACTCATGTCCAAATGCTCGCAAATCACAACCCCCTACCCCCCAGTCCCAAACAGAGCTTCAATCCCAACCCACCAAACCATGACCCAACACTCCCAACCCCAAACATGACACCCTCCACATTTAAGATAAATGAATTCCAACAAAATATCGGGTCAGTAGACTAAGTCCTTGACAGAAATCACGTAACGTGTGCCTTCTGCAAGAAGAACAGCGCACTCGTTATGACCAAGCCAAGCAGGCAGTGTCTCGCTGGGTGTCGCCAGTTCCATTTCGCCAATGCTCATTTGCCAACTCCACCTCCAACAGCTACAAACAGCTGTGCCATCTATTTCCGCCCAACATGCCCAAATGCCCAATACCCTCGGCTTGCGCTTTTGGGCGCAAGCAAAGACAAAGAGGCCTTCGGGGTATTTCACCCCCTCGCCCTTCACGGCGTTCTGGCTGTGGCCGGTGGCGATGTAGCCCGGGCAAATGGTAGTAACCTTACAATAGCAAAGCTGAAAAAGAGACATCCGCGTTTTGTGGGGTTGTTAGAAAGGAGCACGCTATCCACAAAAGGATGGAGACACGTTGCAAAAATTTGGGGTAGCGTGGCGGGGGGGGGGGCACAGATTGTGGGGGAAGCCCATACCAACATACCAAAGGATTCGTCCGGCAAAACGCCACCATTCACTCAGAAAAAGGACAACCACCCAAAAAAACGACGATGGCAGGGCAAAACCAGTTGCCCGGTGACGCTGACGCCCCGGTCGCCGACCTCTGCCCGCAGAGAGTCGTAAAAGCCCACCGCCGCATGCTTGGCGGCGGCGTAAGCGGTGCGGCCCGGCAGGCCAAAGAAGCCCTGCACCGATGAAACCTGCGGGGAAAGATCAGGCAGCGAAAGGGAGACCGAACATGGCTGTGGGTCAAAACCAATGGTACCATTTTGGGGTGCACCACAAGTCTTAGTCTATTTAAGGGAGACCGAACATGGCTGTGGTGGTCAAAACCGTTTTGGGATCCCGTTTTGGTTGGTAGGTGAATTCACCACCCAGTGTAGAACCGATTTTTTTCTGGGGATTGGGATGTTATGTTCACTGGGGGGACGGGATTTTGACCCATGGCCACATGCAGAACCATCCGGAGTAAAACGGAGCCTGAAGAAGCCTGATGCCCCCTTCTCTAAACAAAATTTAACCAACCCCCATCAGGAACCCTGACGAACAATTGGCAACGTTCAAACAGCTAGGGCACACGATGCAAGAAGGAAACGCGAAAAGGACAAGCAACTTAGACAAGTCTGGCCTGTACACCGGGCAAGTCGAAACAAATATATTCATTTATTGATGTTTATTCTATGTCTTAAATGAATAGATCATTTGGTTGTTCGGATGTCATTTATTGCGTTTTGTTTAGAATAGGTATTTATAGAATATCTGGCAATGACGATGGTGTGATAGTTCATTGAGCTGAGCAGCTGCACTGTTCGTTTGTCAAACTGAGGCCATTCGAAAGGCTCGACGTGACATGCGCGCTAGGCGGAGCAGGCACCCGGCTGTACTTGTCTGAAGATCCGGAAATGCAGGATAACCCTTGAGAACCATCACGACTAATGCCTGGGCCAACAGTCGGAAACCGACATGATGGAAATTTGGCTTCGGACAACTGACATCATGAGGCCGCTTGATATGCCCGCAGCTAGGCGGAAGGCCCACCACGGCCCAGCATCGGCTCACGGTTTTTTGGGCGCGAGACTGGTGTGGTAGATGATTAGAACCAAACTCAAACCAAACTGAAACCAACGCCACCCATCAAACTGACATTCACTATGTGAGGCATGTTGAATGGCCACAAATGAACCCTGCCAGAGCAGTCCTCTGCCCATTGCAGCCCAATAGGGGCCATTTGTGACAGAAAACAAGGACCCCCCGAAGAGTAGTTGTTCCCCGTGGCGTAGCTTCCCATCGCCAGCCAAACATGAAGCAAAAGGTCGGGCCGAAGGCCCGAAACCCCACCGTCGCCTGCACCACGTGGCCCCGCTGCTGCTGGAGCCAATCTGGCAACAAAGCCTTGGTGAGCACCACGCCGCTGAAGTAGTCCACGTTCCTCAGATTTCGGCGACTTCAAAGGGGGACGGGGTGGCGCGGGCCTGGCGGAGTGCTGGGAAGACTAAAAACAACTCAGGGATTGTTTTTGTTGATTCATTTATTTTTCATGTGTTTTTTCTGGGAGCAGTTTTACGAGGAACTCGGAAAATGAAACAAAACACCTTTACGGACAATGACTCAACATGGACACCCGTCAAGCTTGCCCATCTGCAGAGTATTTATCAGCAGGAGGATCAGCTTACGCTGTAAGAGACCCGAAAAAAACGTCCGTGAGAACCCGCGGTGAAGAACAGCACATGTGGCTATCAAGGGTTCAGTTGTAACAAGCCTCCCGATGACACCAAGCTTTCCATAAAACTCACCGGACTGCATCTCTCTCTGAGCATGTCGCTGGATGATGCACGCGCCCAAACTGGTGGAAAAAACGCCTGATGTGAAAGCTGTTTTTTTCTGACTCAGCGATCGATTTTCCTCTCATCGTGAACAGCAATCCGCCTGCCTGGTCTCCTCTAAACGACTATTTGGAGGGATGTCGGACATATTAGCCCCAACTCAAATCTTGGTGGTTTGGATCTGGATTTGAACCCCCGATTCTTGGTAGAGGGCAAATGGGAAACCACCACTAAACTCACTGATGCGGCTCCGGCGTCAAACCCCCCAAAAACGGGGGAGGCCGAGCAATGCTGGGTACAGCCCACGAGATTCCTTGCCCAGCAGCATGACCTGCTGATCAATCTCAATGGACGTCTCCTCCCCGAGGCCTCGGAAGCCCACGCCCCCGTTGTTGACAAGGATGTCGATCTTGCCTCGGGCGGGATCAAGGCTTCTCGTTGGTTGGTTGGTTGGTTGGTTGGTTGGGTGGGTGGGCGGGCGGGCGGGTGGGTGGGTTGGGACCAACCAACCAACCAAGCAAGCAAGCAACCAACCAACCAACCCAAACAACCAAACAAAACCGAACCAACCAAACCGAACCAAACCAAACCAAACCGAACCAACCCACCCACCCACCCAACCAACCAAACAAACGACCAATCAAAAGAACAAACAGACCAGAACAAGAACCAACCAACCAACCAACCAACCAAACATAACCAAACAAACAAACAAACACACAAACAAACCAACAAACCAGCCAGCCAATCAACAAACAAACAAACAAACAAACATACCAAACATTACCAAACATTACCAAACATTACCAAACCAACACACCAACCCACCAACCATTAAAACAAAAGAAAAATCAAACAAGCCAAGAAACAAACAAACAAACAAACAAACAAACAAACAAGCATACACACATACACACATACAGTACAAAGCAAACAGACCTAACCAACCAAAACCAACCAACCAACAAACCAACCAACCAGCCAGCCAGCCAGCCAGCTAGCCAGCCAGACAGACAGCCAGCCAGCAAGCCAGCCAACCAAACACACAATCACACAAACAAACAAACGCACAAACAAAATAAAGAACAAACAGACCAGAACAATAAACCAACCAACAAAATCCAAACAATCAACCAAACAAGCAGCCTGCAAACATTCTGCCATACATCCCTGCAAACAATGCCGCCCGCAGTGCAAACAGAATTGCTACCGGCACATGCCATCACCTGCCAAGCAGTTGGGGGCCCGTTGGACCAGGTAATCACGGGACGGCAGCTGCTCAGCTGAAAACCACCCTTCGACATCTGGCAGTAATTTGGAGAAGAAAAAAAAAGAAAGAAACAAAAGAGAAAAAAAGGACCTCTCCAAGCAATTACTGCGATTCTCTGGGGAGGCCACAGTTGAGTCACAATGAATGTTGACCCCAAACTAATCAAGCCCAGTTTATTCATACGGAGGGCGTTCTCCTCCAAAAGCGATTCCCCGCTAAACCTAGGAACACACCGAATCAACTGGGCTTGACTAATATGAGGTCAACCAAAAACCTGGTGACGGGATCTTCCCAATCAGACCCCCGCGCCGAGCTCGCTCCCGCCGCCGAGGCGCCGAAGAAGGCCTTGGCGGCCTTCGCGGCTTCCGGCAGGCTGCCCAAGTCCGAAAGGTCCAGGGGCAGAACCTCCACCTCGGCCATGGGAAAACACGGACGGACCCATGGTCCACAGGAACCACACCGATCGCAGGCAAATCTACTAGGATAGTGGAGTACAGGAACCACACCAATCGTAGGCAAAGCCAAAAGACATGGAGTACAGGAACCACACGGATCATAGGCAAAGCCAAGAGGACAGTGAGATTTGGGTGGTTGATGCTGGGAGGTCCATGCAACTGTCTTTGCGCCAGGTGGCCGAAACGGTTGGGGAGATTTCTCGGCACCTCTCCTTCACCCGCTCCAAAGCCTCCTTGCGATGGCTGCAGGCGAGCCGATCTGCTACAAAAGCAATTTCGGAATTTCGGGGGAACAGGGGCACCTTTGATTTCTCGCCAATCTTTTCGAACAAGCACATCTCAAGTGATATCTGACTTCTCAACAGCATCAAGTGACATCAGCTGTCCATAGTGCAAATATTGCTCACAAATATGGAGTTCATCCCCCGTTCCTCTCTTCCGGGTGCGGTTTGAAGTGATGTGCAAGACATGGCAACAGGCCGATAAAGCATACCGTACGCAGGATTGCTGTGCGTCCTGTCTTCAAGACCTGTCCAGCCTTGACAGGATACTGACCCGCGTGTTCCGATGGTAAGCAAGTAGGTTCGGCTTGCTTTGATGATTGCCACACCCCTCCATGAGCGCCCCAAAGCTTCTTGTCCTAGAGCTTCCCCCGTTAACCCGTGCAACCCCACGCCGTACAATGCACTCTGAAAGAAGGGCCCGTGTGAGTCAGACCGTCTTGCGGCCTTCCGTGGCTTTCCCGCCATGAGCCATATGGCCATGGGTCAAAAGCCCGTACCCCCAGTGAACATCCCAATCCCCACTAAAACAGGTTCTAAATGGGGTGGCCCCAAAATGGGATCCCAAAACGGTTTTGACCACAGCCGTTTGGACTTCCCGTCCTTGCGCCGGGCGCTCAAGACCAGGCCCTGCACCTTGCTGCAGAGCGCCACAGCGAGCGCCTCCCCGAAGCCCCCGGAGGCACCGGTGATCCAAACCTCGAGACATCCCCCGGAAGTTTCCGATGAACTGATCCCAGCCACTTTTCCGGTCCATGTGAGCATTTCTCCAAGGAAAACTGGAACACCCCCCCCCCCAAAAAAAAAAACATCTGCCCTACAAGAGCACCACAGTACTAGTTCCTAGCCTGTGGATCCATAGCACGGTCCGAGTGGTTCTTGCTTCTTTCGTAACGGCCTGTCTAATTCCGACTGATCGAGTGGCAAGTTGTATTTGTGTGCACTTATTGATTCATGAACATCGGGGAGGAGCTTCTATGCCACTCATGGGATAAGCACGCGTTGTCCTGTCTGTGTGGGCAACAGGCCTAAACTCTGCATATTTTGAGGTTTGTGGTTATACCTCTGGGCTGGGGCGGGTGCATCTTGGCCATCTCGGGCCAATGGACACGGCTCGAATGTGGTTCCTCTGGAGAAAGAGGTTGTTCGCTGTTGCGCAGGGAATGAGCGCAGGAGAGCTAGAGTCACACAGGCAGGACCTATGAACTTTACAGGAGTGGGCTTTGCTCGGAACACTTCGCAAGAGTTGCGCAAGAACAGCCAAAGCCGCGCAAAAGGCCACCCGTGGCAGGGAATCGCATACCTGGCCTCAAGTCTGAACTCAAGTCCCCCGCAGGTTAGATTCGAGAAAGAAAGAAACACCTCAAATCGGCCCAGAAAGCAAGCAAACGCTCGAGCCTGCTGTTCGCGGGGAGTAGTAAGCATTGCCTCCTGTACAGCAACTTTGCTTTTGCTCTGTTCCCTTCTTGGGCAGCATGTGGGAGCTGCTTCAAAGTTCTTGTGCTAATTTGTGGCGTTTGGTGCTTTTTGCGCTCGCCATTGCTCCATCTTCGGTTTTCACGATGCTTCGTTTGAATGAAAAATGCGAGAGCAACCAGAAGGAAACGGCAACAAAGGAAATATACGTTTGCAAAGACCTAGCAGGAGGGGAAACCACGTTGGTTTTTGCAGCAATCGTAAACCGTAGACTACTCGGAAGTACTCATGCCGTCTTCGAACAACGCCCAACGTGATGCCAGGCCACCGTTTTCTCCTCGAAGTAGTCCTGCCCAGGAAAAAGAGTTTGCGCCTCAAAACTACAGCGCTCCAAGGCTGTGCAATTTGTGATTTTTTCCACATGAGCTATCTCCAAAACAGAAGGTGCAAACATGGAATATCTCAGGAGGCTTCGTTTTGAAGGGTCGCCTTCGTTTTACAGCCCCTATTCCACCCGAATGAATGCCCTTGACGCGGAAAATTTTGGGGATCCCGCACCTACAGTATCATCACTGCGTCTGCCGCAACAGGCGGCCCACCCTGCCTCTCGCCCGAAGATTGCGCCCATCACGGCGCGCCGGGCCGTCTTTGTGCGGCGGCCGCGCGCGCCGCGGGCCGCGCCTGCCCCCGCCGCCAGCGCGGCCGTCCCCGACGCGGTGGCGGCCAGGCGTGGGGCAACAGCGGCCGCAGCCGCAGGCGAAGGGGCTGAGCTCGTGGAAAGCGGCCGGGAAACGCGAGGGGCGATGGCCAAGCCAAGATGCATCTTGAGCCAGCTGGAGGCAACTGGCACCATTATACCAGTATCAAAATCACACCCAAATGGTGGGTTGAAGGGAAACCACCCCAGTCTCTGACTTTGATAGCCCCTAGAAACGGTTGAATAAGAGACAGCTGTTGGTACGCGGCCCCGGGTGTGGCTGGCGACAACATGATATTTAGAAAAGAAAAAAACACATCTGCAAGTAGATCCCTGGAGCAGCACGTAGTCATGACGAGCATCTGCAAACATCCGCATGCATCTGAACTGGGGCCCAATGATTACAGTACTCGAAACTTGGCAGCCAAACTACGCATCAACCCCCGATCGCGCAAGAATGCAACCTGCATGCCGCAAAACAGCCACCCAGCTGCAACCGCGGCACCTTGTGCAAGCGTCGCGCAGCCGTTGCAAAGCTCCTGGACACTTCATGCAACGAGCCCTTAGATCCAAGTGGAGCCTCCATGGGTCGCTTGATTTCCCTTTGCCAAAGAAATCAATCAACAGAAGAGGTACCGTCAAAGAAAAAAATCAGCCAGGGGGCAACACTGCTGTGGGCCATGGCGAGTCATGGTTCCCCTAGTGCGAGTCCTTCTGGCTGTCTAATCCCACATGATGAACGAATGCACTCTATTTCTCTCTGATTTCTGCCAAATCCACATGCCCCCAATATTAAACTGGAATGAGGCTGGTACTTGCAGATCCCAGCTTACGGTCGTGTTAGGGGGCTGCACAGCCGTTTTTCAGGCTTCCGATTGATGGATGGGCATGCCTGACGCTCGAGGGTTTTGTTGGTTCAGGGAAGAACGGGACCCCTGACAGAGGGGTTGTACACATGGAGGGTCCGCGCTCTCCCCGCCCCCCCCCCCCAAAAAAAAAAAAAGGAAAAGAAACATGGTAAAGCTCGGTTGAATTCTGCATCGTGAGTCCCTCCTAGTCATCCCGGGTAGGGCCTTATCCCGGGTCCATGAGTCCACAAGTGCAGCTGAGGGTTATGGGACTCGCCTTCTGAAGTGCCACTGTTCACGCCTTCCCAGTCTTCACTGAAAGGCACCGCTTCCTTTTCTCGGTTCCCCTCTGCACCTAACCCCAAACTCAAACATATCCTCAGCTGCCCAAAGGAGCTGGAAGTAAAAGGTGAACCTTTTGGGGCCATGTTGGAAAAATCGACCAACATGGGGAAACCAAAAGGTTAAGGGGACGGCTTTGTACAAGTGAGTGCTAGTATCTGCAAAGGGGGGCTTTCAGCTAAGCTTTGCTTTTTTGGGAGCGGTGACCCCAAAAAGCCCTAAGCCAGCGGCGGCCATGAAGAAGCTCCTTCCAAGCGCTGCCGCTGGCTTTCGCACATCAGCGATGCGAAAGTGAATCTGCCATGTGTTTACGTAAGAATTCCATAAAGTCCCACATTTGACATGAGGGATTCTCAAGCAAATCACCTTCTGAGCTCATCCCAGGAAAGCAAATGGAACGCAATAGGCCAACCAATGTCTGACTGATCTGCTAATGCATAGCTTATGCATGGTTTCTCTACAACTTATACTTGGGTAGCTTCCGAAGGGGGCTGGTTTGGTTTCCTGGCGCCAAGTGAGCATGTGTTTCCTTTGACTCTGGAAAGCTTGCTGAAAACAGGCGTCCTTTCCACGTCAAGGGGCTGCACGGCCATTTCGGGCCGAAATGGGGCTTCATTGAGTTCTGCGGCCCAGTTTCGTACACTGATCAGGCCCTTTTGGGGCAAGCTTTGCATACGTGCCCGCAAATGAAACCATGAAGGTCAAGGGAGTACAAGCTTCGGGCAGGCTCTCAGAAGCAAAAGTATGGCGGGAACTCACTGACTGAATCTTCACTGAAGGGGCAAAGATCCTTTCATATTCTATGGATTTGCTCATCCTCGCCTGGTCCGATGTCCAGCCAAAAAAACCGCTGCACACCGGGCCAACGCCGCTGGCCGTAACGTGGTTTGCAGTTTGGGTGACGCCAACTCCGTAGAATTGACAGGGCGTGGGGAATTCTCCAACCTTCTTTGGGAGGCCGGCCAGTTCACAAGGGCATTTGGTCACACTGCTCCATTGCGTTTGTGAGAAGCAAGTTGAGTGGGACATGTGAGCAAATATCTGACACTCTCGGGCTACATCTTCCAGGGACATGTTGGGTGTCCGCGGATTCCTCACCTACGGAATCCGAGCTCGAGAGTTTTCAAAGAGCAGTGAAAGCCGGGGCATAACGTCTGGCATACACATAGTTCGAACACCAAACGGCTGCATGCCAGTGTCTGAACGCCGCATGAGCTAGCGGCCCTTCCCGCATTCAAGCCCAACCACGAGTTGAAGATAGCTGCCCAGCCCCGGTCCAAAAACTATGCACAGCACTAAGCTACAACTCAGTTGTTCTTTTGGACACTGGGAAAGCTCCGCCAAATTTCCGGCGCAACCGGACTCCCGGACTCTCTCCTCCCGAACTCCCTGCTTTTGTTGCGTCACTTTGGTCGCGTTCGTTCGCGCGCCAGTTCGGAACACAGCTGGGATGCTCAGTGGCTGGAGCCAAGCTCAGTTTTGGAAACCCCAAAAAAGGTATCTCACATCACAGGGGTCCCTATATTTCCCTTTTTGGTTTAAAACATCGCCTTTTGGGCCCCTGAAAGGTGAGTGTGATGTGTTAAAAGGGGAATATAGGTAGCCCTGCCTCACACTTCGCCAACACGAGGTTCGCTCTTCGGATCCCTTGAGGCCACTGAGCTACGTCGGCGCGGACTGGCGCCGAAACCATCGCCTCAACGACCTGTGAGAAAACATCTTTGGGAGGGCCACTAGAATTGACACACGGCACTCCGCGCGTATGCCGCGTATGCCGCGTATGCCGCTCTATGCCATTCCGCCATCCATGGCCATCACGTGGTACGCGCGACCATCCTGGAGCTTGACAAGCCACCGCAGAGTTGGAAAACGACAAGGACTTTCAGCTTTGACCACCTGCTGCACCTGAGCAGCCTGGCGGATGTGGGCCTAAGATTTGTCACCTCCTCCTTGTTCTTGCTGAGCTGCTGGTATCTTCCAAAAAGCGGTGCACTTCCGGAGTACCATTTGGGCACCCAACTGCTAAATGCAGAGAGAAAAGACTACGGGCAAAAGGCTCATGCGATCGACACGTGGGCAAAGGGTATCCTTCCGGTTCGTATCCATCACGGGCTGACTCTCCACGCGTCAGTCGCCAAAGCCAGTGCAAATCTGACGGCATTCTGATCAAGTGTCATCATGACTGAGCGATGCCCGCGGCAACGGTTTTCAACACTTTTCAACAAACTCACAAATCAAACACTTGGATGAAGAAGTGCGCCATTGGTATGTTTCTCCTGGCAGCCCCCCAAAAAACAAGCAAACCGCCTTCAATGACGCAGGCTCGCCCAGACATTCGCAGACTGAGATGAGAGCCCTCAGGTCAAGAAAGGGAAGAGCTGAGAGGCAATACGGTGCCTCCAGAACCTAAGTGGACCAAACATGCCAGGAACGTTTGCGGCTTCGAGAAAGGCTTGCTTCTCCCCGGAAAGTTGGATGCCCGAGTCGCGGACACATATGGAAAAGAGTGTGTCTGTGTGACAAAAGCAAAATCGAACTGAAGCGGACTTCGTGACGGGCGCACAAGAGAAAGAGAAAGCGAAAGTAAACAACAACGAAAAAAGGAAGGAAGGCAGAAAAGAGAAAAGAAGGAACAGAAGAACAAGAAGCAAGAAGAAAAAGAGAAAGAGAACGAGGAAAGAGGAAGGAGAAACAGGAAGAGAAAGGGAAAGAGAGGATAAAGCAAAAGAGAAGAATAACAAAGTAAAAGAGAAAGGGAAAAGAAAAAAAAAGAGAAAGAAACGAACAAGGAGAAGGAAAGACAAAAAGCAGAAGAGAAAGTGACAAAAGACACAGAAAGAGAGAAGGGGAGAAGGGGAGAAGGGGAGAAGGGGAGAAGGGGAGAAGGGGAGAAGGGGAGAAGGGGAGAAGGGGAGAAGGGGAGAAGGGGAGAAGGGGAGAAGGGGAGAAGGGGAGAAGGGGAGAAGGGGAGAAGGGGAGAAGGGGAGAAGGGGGGGGGAAGGGGAGAAGAAGCGTGCACCAAACTAGTTCTTGCATTTTTTGAAACTTCCGCCAACGGGCTTCGCCAGCTCGCTGGTGTAGAATGGTGTAGAATTGGGGCTCGGCAAAGAAGGCTACAAAATGAGAGTGATTATGCGAGCAACTCCAAACAAAAAATGGCTCCGTGAATTCGAGGGCTACTCGGGCCCAACCCTGCCCGTGTCGCAAGCATGAGGTGCAGTTTGGTGCAAGGAGCAAACTTGAAGGGCAGAACGTCTGAGAGAAAAGCTTGCTTTGCGTCCCCCCTCCATTGGCTCTCCGATTTTGTATTACTGAAACCTGACGAGCCCAACGAAAAGTGTCCAATCCCACAAAGCGAGCTTCCCTTCGAGCCGGTTGTTTTGGCTTCGCTGCACATCTTCCCATCTAGCGACCATGGGACAACAGCCTCCTTTTTGGTTGGCTTTTGTTGAAGCACGTCTCCCCCTTAAGAAAAAGAGAAAAAAAACACATGCCTGCAGTTTTTTGATCGGTTGGTTTATGTTGAAGCATCTCTCCCCTTTGAAAAGGAAAAAACAAAAGAGAAAAACACACCAAAAAAAAAAACAGCAAGGATAAATCTCTCTCCCTCAAAAAAAGTCGGGGGACTTTGAACACATTTCCTGAGCGTCTCAGCTCCGAGCCCGGGAGGGAGGAAGCCTTCGGCCTCAAGCCTCTTCCCCACCTCGGACGACGGCACAGGCACCACTTGGAGTACTTGGGGAACCTGCCCTGCAAAATATGCAATGCCGACATGCAACCACGGACATGCATGTACATCCGTATCGATGTATACATAGTTTTCTATATATATATACATATAAATAAATAAATTAAAAATAAACAAAATAAATAGGTATGTCTGTATACATGTCATGTACATTATACATGTCGTGTATATGTCAACATGTGTACAGACACACACACACACATATATATATATATATATCTACAGTTATATTTTTTTGTTCATGTGCTCAGCTTCGTGGCTATGACTGAAGCTGATTGCCCGAAAAACACAAAATCATAGCCCTTGCCATTGCAACAAATCACTCACACAACATTCATCCCGCCCCCCCCCCCCGCCCCGCCGCGGATGAACACAATTAGAGCACAGCACTTGGTATGGACGCAAATTGATCATGAAGCATCCCGACCCCCACCCCCCACACACCCGCACCAACCAAAAAAAGGTCCAAGGTAGGGTCCAAAAAGTCCAAGGCCGCCAGGCCCATCCAGACTTCCAGGGCCCCAGCTGCCAGCATTTCCAGCACCCTGACCCAGTGGAGCTGCGCATAGATGCCTCACAAAGCGCAACGAGTTATTGGGGGAAGAGCATGTCCCCATTTCAGGTCAGCTGTCCCATTCCCAAAGATCGAAATAGTTACAGGAAGCGGGTGGTGGCCCACTGCCTTATCATGGCTCTTGGGCGGGAGTGGTGCCCTTGCCCACCTCCGGCAGCTATTTCTTGATTGGGGAGCCGCCGTGGCGGTGCCATGCTGTGCTCTTTTTCGTGCGAGAGAAGCCAGTCTACTATTATACTTCCCCTGTGTTGAATATCATCCTGAAGTGCAGGGCAACACGGTTCTTACTCACAGAAGTGCCACAGCTCCCGCGTAGAAGCCGCAAAGGTGGGGGCTTTCATGAATGTTCACCGCCAGGCCGTGTGTATCGAATATATTATTCCGAGATCCCAGAGAACAGCTCGCGACTCCCAGCGAGACTCGCCATCGACAGGGGACTGGGTTTCCCCTTCAGCTACATGAACATTGTTTGGAGATCAAACATACCAAAACTTGTGGCTTGCCCGGCTTATTTGAGGTTGTGGCCCATCGTTTTACCAGCCACGCCATGCCCGGCAGAGAAATCGAGACACTTCGCGCCTACTGCAGCTGACCGGATACCAACGTGGCGGTCCTCCATCACCAGCGGCAGGCCCTGGCTAAGCGACCCCTTGAAGTGGACGTGAGTAGAAGCTTTCCCTTCCCACCATGGAAGTGGACAACGGAAAATTCCCTAAAAGGAAAGTACTCTTCCAAGACCCTCTCATCTTCAATGATTGTTGCAGAGATGTCCACCGACTATTCTTGCAATATGGCTCTAGCGCTGTATCGCCATTTACGGTGGGATCACATCTGGCATCTGTCAAAAGGACCCTATGGCATGCCAACATGAAACCTGCCAGTTGACCTCCCCGTCGGAAACGGAAACATCCTGCAAACAAATTTGACCGCATGCCGATTGAAGGGCCAAGGCGTGCGCCGCATTCGCCATGTTCCGGGCTGAGAGGATACGGAAATATTGTCAATTTGCTAGACTATTTGAAAATTGTCAGCACATGGATTCACTGGGTAGGGCACATGCAATTCCTCGCATCGAATGAGGTGGGTCTGATTCCAGACTTCACAAATGGATCGTGGCCACGTTTTAACACGTTTAAAGTATCAAAGTATCCGTCGCCTTCTCGATGAACTTCTGGCTATCCTCAGAAGTTCAGTGTGAGGTGTTTGGAAATCTCGCTCTATGTTTGGCGCTGGGCGTTCCCTGAGATCTCTGGAATACGTACCCTCAGAAAAATGCATAGACATTTATCGATCATCCCCTGGGATCGCATCCTCTCTCTGTCTCTCTGTCTCTCTGTCTCTATGTCTCTCTGTCTCTCTGTCTCTCTCTCTCTCTCTTTTATGTCTCTCTGTCTCTCTCTCTCTCTCTCTCTTTCTCTCTCTCTCTCTCTCTCTTTTATGTCTCTCTCTCTCTCTCTCTCTCTCTGGAGTTTCATCGCTCTCACATTGCACGGGCCGCGTTTTCAAGGGTCCGCGGATTTATGGTCCAAGTATCCGAGGCCGATCCACACTGAGAACTTATCCAAAGTCGCAAGTCGCAAGGTGTTGCGCCGTCTCATTAGCAGAAACCACACAGGGAGGTGGGGGGGAATGCGCCCTGGCTGGCCTTGCACAACGACGCGGCTGTAGACAACTTTCTGCTTGTGGCAGCCGCCAAAAAGAAAGAGCCCTCAAAACGAGCTGAGCTCTTCTAATGGCTATTTTCCCTCTTGGCTTCCGGCTTCAAGAATACAACCCATGGGTTCTTCTAGCTTCCCCATTCGTGTCCGGAACATCACCCCAAACCAAGGCTAGCCGAGCATCTGCATCTTCCTCTGCAGGCCAAAGCCGGAAGCGCGCAAAAGACCAGAGCGCCTCTCAAGGCGGGGGAAGGGGGAAGCATCACACGCCCCACCCGGCGCACGGTCGCACCCATCAAGTGACTGGCCCAGTGAATCAAAAAAGCTTGCGAGCAAAAACAGGCGACTCTCAGCCAGGCGTGGTTCTGGCTGAGCTCTTTTTCAGGTGGAATCACTCATCTCTTTCTTGCATGTTGGAAGGAAACATGAGATTGAGGAATCCAAGCCCTTCAAGCAACAAGCACGGCAGCAAGCAAAAAGAACCCCCCCCCCCTCGCAATTGAAACGGGTCTGTGACGCGCGCCATCAAGGGCGATTTGTGTCGGTCCTGGCAGCCCAGCGGGCTAGATCTTTGGGCGTCGTCCAAACAATGCAATCGCCGGATCCTTGCGCCAGGCAACTAAGTATTTCATTTAGCAACTAAAGGAGCTAAGCAACCAAGCAAGTCGATTAGCAAACTACTCAACCAAGCACTCAGCAAAGCTAAATGACCCACGCCACTCCAAAACAAACCAATAGAACATGCTGCCCTAATGCGACGTGAACCTCGCCTCATCCCGCTTGAAGCCCAACACATGCCCAAACCTCTCCAATTCGCCCACACACACACACACACACCTGCTACCCTCTCTGCCCTTCAGCCGGCCTCAAGCATAACATGTAGCAACCTTAAAACTACGGGCAACGCCTCAAACGCAAAGCATCGCAAAGCCGATCTACATCTACATGCCTGAATGAATGCACATATCTTGCCGGACTCAGACTCAAAGCGAAGCGCATCAAAGCAAACCAACGTGTGCTGGAAAACAGCCCTACATTGACACTGGGACAAGTCCAAACCAAACTTAAACGCATAAACTCGCTACACCAGCCTCCAACCCAACACCAAGCAAGCCTGAAACAAGCTGACACAAAAGTGTAACCAATCAAATCTGACCGCAATGGACACCGAAGCCACTCAAATCAACACGCCCAGCCTACCCAATTCCCGAACAAGCCACACGCCAAGTCATCCCAAGACGAATGACTTAAAGACCGGTGAGAACCGACCCTAAGCGCCCTAGACCCATCCTGAAACCTCTTTTTTTGTGAACCCGGCCCCATGCTTCACGTTTCATGCCGGGTGGTGCCTCCAAAACTAATCGCCGGCCCTCGTAGTCTGTCTCGACCTGCAAGTTGCCAAGACAGCGGTTCAACGACCTTTGGACCCAGGCAGCCATTAGAATCACGGTGGGTCACGCTTTGTCTCGACTCAAAGCCGCAACCGTATCATATCCAGAGCAAGGTTGCACACGTCAGTGCGATACAGTCTGATTGTCAAACCTTGGTGGTCCTTTGCCTGGTTCTGGGTCCAGCTCTTCTCTGAAAGTGGTCACATTTTGAGGTGAACCGTGGGCGGACGACGTTTCACGCATACCGTGAAGCCATCTGAAGACCGTCTCCTCCAAAGCGAAGCTCCCGGGAGAGTGTTATTGTCCCACCCATCTTGGATGACCATTGCCACCAATATGGATCTCAGGTCATTTGCTGGGGCTTAAGCCGTTTTCCCGGCCTCATTATTTTACCAGGATCAATTCACCCCCCAAAGGGGCGGGTTTAAGGGAAACAACCCCATTTGCTGACTTCGATATCTCCCAGAAACCGTCACAACAATGCCCCCCAGTCTTCCGAAAAGGATCCCATGACAGTTTGGCGGGTCACGGCGTTCGCCCAGCGCCCAAGCGCCCAAGCGCCCAAGCGCCCAAGCGCCCAAGCGCCCCGGCCCGGGGCGGGGGTGCACGCGGATTCACCGCTCGGAGCAGCAAGGGCATGGCCTCGGAACTCCGAGGCTCCCCTCGATTCAAGGGATCCTTACATGGCTGTGGATCAAAAAATAGGTACCCTACATGGAACCCTGGTAAGAAGAAACATGGACTAAGATCTGCGGTCCCCTGTGGTTTAATTTTGACCCACATCCACATTATACACCTGAGCATTGCCTTGTCAATGGTGGTTTCCCCTTATTTTGGTGAGGAAAAGCCATGTTGAAAATGGCTGCAAAATGTATCTTTTAAGGAGCCCTGTCAAAGTTATGACATGGAAGCACCGAAAGGTGAGTTGCAGGATCTTCGTGGATTTGTTGGGTTCCTTTGGCTCAGTTTTTCTCGAAATGGTGGGTTAGAGGGAAACCACCTCCAAACTTCGCCCCTCAAAATGTCACCCAGTCACTATTTGGGGTCCCAAACCCACGGCAAGCCGACAAAAGTTGCTACCCAAAAAGGAAGCCTTCTTGCGTCGCGCTAATCTGGCAGCCTGGATCAGCTCCAGAGCGTCTGCTGCGGCCATCCGAAAATTGCAATTCTTCTCTTCATAATTTTTCAGTGCGGAACGGAAGCCAAAGAACTGGGACAAGCGGGCCCAACTTCTGTCTTTCTGAGGCATACCCAGGCAAAGCGGCTACAGGTTTCACATGGACGTGGGTTTCCTGGAAAAAGGTCTCTCAAAGGTGAATTTCAAACAGCACCATCCCGCACAAAGCAGGCCATCTCCTTAGATTGATTGCCTTGCTTGACTGGCTTTGGGCGTCATTGGGCCTGTTCGCTGTGTTGTCCGCCTGCGCCTGTTGTGTGTGCAACCAAACCCTTGCAACTCTGATGCATGTCTCAGCCAGGTCCCCCCCTGGAACACGAATCCGTCCTCCACTCCGACCGCTCCGGCCCCGTCGCTTAGGGCCGAAGCCCTCCCGTCTCTCAGCAGTTCCTCTGCATAGACCCGGCACCTGGCGCTTATTGGCCATGCGAAAGAAGTCACAGCCACTTGAACATTGGTTGCTAAGACACGTGCGGGGCGCACCGAAAACACAAACTGTCTCTG